ACTTTCGTTTTCTTGACCGGCTGGTGCACGTACGACAAGGCCAGTCCTCAGGGGAGCCCGTTGACGAACGTTTGCCGAGTATTCGTGGCCGCTTTTCTGAAAAAATCCAAGCAGGTCCCGGCTGATCCCAATCATCTCTATATAAGAGATGGTGAAAATCTTCAGTCTTTTTCGCGCACTCGCTTTCTCAGGTGTGTGTGTGTTTGTTTTCCATTGTTCTTGAAAATTTGATTGTTTTAGGTTGGATTGCATTTTTAGTCCTGATGCTGGTTTAACGGCACACAAATTTTAGTCTCAATATTCTAACATTTCTCTTGTCGTTGCCGTGATTTAATATTTTGTTACAATCCCAATTCATTTGAGACTGAAACTAGTGAGAATCCCGTGCGATGCACGGAGATTTCGTAACTTAAAATGTTTTTGCACAACTTTATTTTGACAATGCATTAGCCTGTGATCCATTTATATTAATAGAAATAGTATTTTAACATATATATTTATTTTTTAATACAAAATACTATTAATTTTACATATTTTAGTTCATCATAACACTCAAATATTATTTTATTAAAAAATTTATCGTCGTATAATGTCAATATTATTTATAAAATTTATAGAATTAATATTCATCTTTTATATATTGATAAATATTTAATGGAAATTAATATTATTTATTGATGTGATTAATTTAAAAATATTCGAGTAAATCTAATGTATCGGGAAAAAAAAATCTAATGTTTGTTAGGAATGTGATAGATATCGATATTTTAGGTACAAATATATGATATATATGTACAACTATATGATATGCATATCTTGAGATACAAAAGAAGTTTTTATGTGATTTATTACCATACTAAATTGCCGCAATTACTTAAATTGTATTTTTAAAACATATCATAAAATGTTTAAATAGTTTCCAGAATTAGTAAACAACATTTTTTTGGCGGGAAATAGTTACTGTTAAAAAAATAATCAAACATTTATATATATATATATAGATTGCAACAAATTCCGAAATTTGTATTATTGGGATAGATTTTTTATTAGCAATTCAATCCCTTTAATTTACAGTTTTGTTGCATTTTCAGTCACGTAATTTAAAATTTTGTTGCAATTTCAGTCCTCAAATAACTGAAATTGCAGCACAACAAAATATTAAATCACATAAAAAGGCATAAAGTTGAAACAAAGAGACTAAAATTGCTACGGCTCAAAGCAATAGGACTAAAAATGCATTTTTTTTTTTGCTTTAGGCATAATAATTGTACGTTTTTCAACTCAGGTGCTTGGAAAAAGCGGCCGTTAAATCTAAAGAGGAGAACCTCAAGAGCCGAGTCGAAAACCGATGGAAACTATGCTCGGTTTCCGAGGTTGAGGATGCGAAAATCGCGGTCCGCATGATTCCCA